TGATTTTACTGTATATTAAAAAAAAAAAATTATATACAGTCAGCGGCTAAAATATGGAACAAATTCGTTTAAACATCAGGTGTTGGGATAATAAAATGCTATCACACGTCTATCTCCTTGAAGCCTTTTACTTCAAAATTTCCTCGCCAGTAATGTATTATTTTCGTGACTTTTATGTACATAACTATGTTGGTACCTTTGAAAATAAATGAACGGCGAAAATGACATTTTTCGGTTTTTTGGCCATAACTTCGCTATTTGTAGACCTACAAGAAACTTTGATAGGGAAAATTAATCACCATACAATTCTGCATAACGTGGCCAAGCGGTTTTGTACGATTTCCGAGTCCCTATAGTGAAAATGAAACAAAAAGATTACTCGTGAGATCGATAATTTGAGAAAATAATTTCATAATGGAGACGTAAATACTGTGGCGAGAAAATTTACTGTCACGGGAAAACTTACTTTGCTAATAAAATACGCATCTGTAATATCAGATGCGCTTTAATCATTCATATAGTGATTTACTTTTAGTTTATTATGATATAAGGAAAGCTTTAGAACTGTTGACGTACTGTTTAGACGTTTACTTATATTATAAACATTTGCACTATAAACATTTCATGCAAAAACGATTAAATCAAATGAAAGTTTCCGTGAATATTATAAGATGTAAGTTTACAACAGTTAACGTAATCAACGGTATCGAACTTTATCTTAGTCTGGGTCTGCAATACTGTGTATATTCTATTGAACCTCGACATGGCCTGATCCAGCATCCTAAAAACCGCATACTGATGTTATTCCTTTTAGTGCAGCGGAGAGAGCCGCGAAATCGTTCAAAAAATTTTTTCAGAGTAGAAAGAATTGGGACCCACACCATTTTGTTCAGAAATGTTTGAACCTTCAGAATCTCGCTTTACGACATTTTCCCATGGTGCTGACAAAAGTTATAGGCCGCTAAAGTTGAACTTTACTCATTTTCGCGCGCGCGACTAGACCACCGAAAGTATTTATTTTCTCAGCAACTAAGCGATATACATCAATAAGTCCTTTTGTAAAATGAAAGTACATTTATAGCAGAATCTAAAGCATTCATATTTACCTACCTTGTTATGCACAGTTTTTAGAAAAATGACCGTCAACTTCCAAAATTCGTGTAGCAGATGAAAAGTGCGCACTTTGAACTCTCATAACTTTTTATTTCACGATATCGATTTCCAATATTCATAGCTCATTCGATGCTCCTATATATTTCACCAAAGAACTGAGATACATGGAGTTAATGAATTGTTTGAGATTTTACAATGCAACTCGGCGGAATGCATTTGTAAACGCTTAAACGGCCTAAATAGCTAGTTTTGGTATTCGGAGAGAAATTTCTTAGTAAAGTAGAACCTCTTACGCATCGCTCCTTGTTGCGCGAACGCTGCTGACTATCCTTCCCTCTCCGTCTCACTCGCGACTCCAGACTCGGCGAGGTTGGTAGGTTTTTACTTAAATGACCGTAACTTTTTTATTATGAAAAATTCACGGTAATGTTATAGAAAATAAAATAATCACAATGCTTTGGAGCATCGAATGAGCTATGAATATTGGAAATCGATATCGTGAAATAAAAAGTTCTGAGAGTTCAAAGTGCGCACTTTTCATCTGCTACACGAATTTTGGAAGTTGACGGTCATTTTTCGAAAAACTGTGCATAACAAGATAGGTAAATATGAATACTTTAGATTCTGCTATAAATGTACTTTCATTTTACAAAAGGAATTATTGATGTATATCGCTTAGTTGCTGAGAAAATAAATACTTTCGGTGGTCTAGTCGCGCGCGCGAAAATGTGTAAAGATCAACTTTAGCGGCCTATAACTTTTGTCAGGACCACGGGAAAATGTCGTAAAGCGAGATTCTGAAGGTTCAAACATTTCTGAACAAAATGGTGTGGGTCCCAATTCTTTCTACTCCGAAAAAAAACTACCTTAAATAAGCGAGTTAGCGCAGCCTCTCCGCTGCACTATTTGGATTCATGACTCATGTGCTTCTGGTCAAGCAGTCTCCATTGTTATTCAATTCGGGAAGTGTTGACTACACTGATTGACATCGACTGTCACTCTTCTAATTATTTGGGGGTGCTAATTGCTTTTCTTATATTCTTCGCGTGCACCTTCCGCTTCTTCATCGACCACCTGATCCAGGATTACCGTAATTTTTACCACTTTGAGGGGTCAATGGGAACCCTTTTTTGAATGGGTTCGGACCCCTGAAAATTGACATTTTTCATTTTCTCAGGAACTTGAATTTTTACAAAAGAGTACAATTTTGTGGTACCTACCATACACGTATACGTTTCCACTTCCGGTTGCTGATGTAAACCGGAAGTTGTGCAAGGATAAAAATGGTAGGTATATAATTTTAACACGGATTGTCTGCATATTAGCCAGGTTGCGGACAGCATTTTCCGTTATGTTAGACGGCCATTTTTCCTTATAATATAAGTTTATAAGTATAAAACATTTTTATAGCAAAGTTAAGTTGCGGTGTGTGCTGGGCGTGTTCAATTTTGCTTATAAGTTTAAAGGAGTCTTAACCTCACTTTTATTTTACATTGTGTTAAAACTTAAAATGTCCAAAGTTCACTACTATGCTCTTAGACAAAAAGAAAAGAACTACCGCCAACATAAACACTGCACAATTGTAGGTTAGCAGGAAAATGTTATTTATGATAGTGATTACGTACTGCGCAGTGACACATTATAAGAACTTCATTTTCATTGGTTCCGCTATTTATAAATATATCGTACAAAAAGGCCTCATACCGTAAATTATTTCTACAAAAATTTATATTTCTTATGTTATAAGAAAAAATGGCCGTCTAACATAACGGAAAATGCTGTCCGCAACCTGGCTATTAGCTCGATTGCGTACGCTTAAGACGTATTATTCTCAAGACTGGTATATTTAACGTATAGACATATAATTCTATACAAAAGTGTATTATTATTAAATATCGGAAGTGCCGAGAATTCGTTAAGTGCTGCTGCACTGGACCTCAAAGCTGTTACGGCTTTATTATTACGATAAACTACCAGAAGGCGTGACTCATACAGAGCATATTCCAAAATATATCTAAACTTTTGTGCTTATCCTTTATTGAAAATTTCTTTATCTTACAGTAATCTACAAACAGAAACTCGTATCTTGACAATTAAAGTCGTTAACATGCAAAAACCTAGTAGAAAAAGATTCTACCATTGTCAAACGTTGTATTTAAATTTAACTGTGCAGGCAAGCGATTAAACCACTGTGCTTACATGAAAGACCAACACTTAGTTGTTTTATTTGTCAGAACAGTCAAGATTACTTCTCCAAGAAATGCAACAATGGATAGTACAATCCCAAAGCCGAATACCATGAAAACACCGCTGAGGTGCTCAAAAGAAAGCGCCACAATCTCGTCCCCAGAAAGAAATATCCGCCTCTTGGTATCTTCATAATACAATTGTCGGGTCTTACTTAGCCAATCAGACAAGCCACTCTCTGTCAATCTTGCTATAATTACGTCGATTGTATTAATAAAATATTCAGAATGTTGAATAGCTGCAAACACTTTAAGACAAGTGGGGGTCACAAGTTTGTCAACGAAGTAATTTGGGGTTCGTAATCGTAAACGCAATTCCATTTCATGTAGTGTTTTAAGTAACAGTATCATAGAAAAATTGTGATGTTTAGACCACACTTTCAGCAACTCGTATGGATCTGTGTTATCGTTCATTTTGTGCTGTTGAGGTGGATAAAACTTGTTGACCACTCTGAAGAATGTTTCGTTAAATTCAGACGAATAATGGGCATGAAAGGCAATTCTAGCTTGCGCATCATAACAAATAAGGAGATCTGTTTTTAATAGCTCCTGTAAGTCCTGTATATGTTTCCCCACTGGTGGTGAAGTTAAAAGTCGTATCAGACTTGATACATACGCTGTTTGCATATGTATACTGTAGATAATGTAACATATCATTATAAATCTTAACGTTGAAGTTTTAGGAATACGATTCATGCTGCCATATAGCGTCATACTGAAAGTGTTTATAATTATCTCAGCCAAACTTGTCATAAATCGGTTGAGAACGTAACTAGTAAGGACAAATAAACCAAAAGTCACAAAAAATAATATCCAAACTTCCTTTTCGAAAGGAATCACCAAAACCTCCAATACCGAAATGGGTTCTGCGGGTGGAACAATCCACACCACGGTATCCCTCGAGATTATATGACTGAATTTTATTTGATCAAGATCGACTGTGAGTATCAATTCGTATAACATAATGGGCCGATAGCGTACATCCCAAATATACTTTGTAATCTGATAATTGTATAGTGTGATGTTTAATATTTCTGCGGTTACATTAAAAATGTAATTCCCTAGATCATCGTAATGGTTACCAATAAAGTTAACAACTGCAGGGCAACCATTATAATTTCTTATTGCTTTAGGGGTAGTATCCACTATGGTACTGCCACAGCTTTGGTTTTGAATTACGTGGGCTATTCTTCCGCATTCATTTTTCTGGTCATGCGGATTGGATGTAAAGAACTGTGGCTTTGCGTTTGCACTTCTGTCGATCACCAAAACTCCCAAATAAATAAGATCGTATTTCCAAAGTAGATTAAACACCTCTTTCACTAAAGAAATATTGTCAGTTATAATTAAAAATTTGCTTGTAGGGGAAAGAGATTTAGACCATACTATATTATGAACTTGGTTCAACAAATAGTTTATATCCTTTTCCAAAGAGTTCATGCTTTCCATGATGATTACAAAATTGTAAAAAATTTTGCAATCCCTGGAGCTATTGACTACTCTACCATCGGTATTAATAACAATCCTCGGATTTGGTGTATGAAATGGTAAAAAATCGGTTGTATTGCGATTAAAAATGTAGTAAAATGTTTCTTCGCCAAACATTGTCTCAACAACTTTTTGAGTACATACCTGCCCAGGTGTTCTATCGAGCTTTATATAACAATTATATGTTGAACATAGAAGCGACGCAAGAATCGCACAGAATAAATTACTCTTGTTCATTATATCAAGTTAAATTACCGACGACGCTTAACATATTGAACAAATACTGGAAGTATACGTAGTGCTAGTTAAACAAGCACGTTTTTTAGTTATCGATTTTAATGATTAAAGTACATTTTTGCTGCTTAGTTGAGTACTTTGTAATTTGCTTTATCGCGATCCATTCATAATAAAAGATATTAGAATTTATCGCGATACTTCGCTAGTTAATGTCGCATGTAAATAAGTACCTACGTGGAATACTTTCCGTATTGATTCCACATGTTTAGGTAAACATAATATTGATCAATAGTTTTTGATATAAAACATGGTTCCGCGACATAAAGATTTAAAAAAACCCAGTAATCATTTAACTTGCCTAGAGTGTTGTGAAACCTTAACCAGAGAGAAAAAACTAAATTACTGGAATATCTCATAACCATATTTTAAAATTAAACACCAAACTTCGTTGCAAAAATGTTAGTTCCTTTGGGTCATCCTATAGTTCATTCTACCAACAATCCATTACAACGGTAAACATTAAAAAATCCTTTCATCTTTGCAGCACGATCAAAGACAGCCTCTTTTTATATACGGGTTCGGCCAATCAGTGCGCAAGCGGCATTGAGTCCACCCGCAGTGAATTTTCCTGCAAGAGCTGTTTTGTCCAGCCATTGTTCTTCATGGAAAAGTTTTATGAACAGCGCAGGGCTGTGAAGTTTTGCTTCCTGCTCGGAAAAAAAAGCCTCGAAACCGTTCTTCAAATGTGAAGACATCTTACGATCGGTGCCGATATACCTAACCACTTCGGAAACATCCCTAGTATAAGTACTATCTAAAGTTGCCTATCGCAATGGAAATGTGTTAGGGTTCACAGATTTCTGCATATATATTGATGTTACAGTGACCTATGATGTGAGTGGTGACTGAGTTTGTTCTTGATCGATCCTGTAGGTGTAGTAGATATTAGTTATCTATGTACGCTGTGGGAGATTATGTTACCTTGAAATCTCTTTCGCTGAATATGAGTTTTGGATGTAATGTCTACTTGGTTTTGTTTCATGCTCAGTATTCAATAACTAAAACAACTGCCCTGAAGGTTTTCCGTAGTGTTTCCTGCTGACTTCTGGATGACCTAAGGAAGGTCCTCTCACTAACGCTGTCCTAAAGAATATTGCAAAATTCGTAGTTCACTATTATTATACACGGTACGGTACATTCCAAATACATAATTTCAAAGTCAAAGAGTGTATTTAACTGCTTATTAATTCAAACCTTCACCAATGATGCTCAAAGCATAGCGAAATGTTAGCGCCATTTCGGCCTAAATATGAAAAATCGCGGTTTTCCACTTCCAGTCACATTTTTGACCCTTCCATTGTGATCCTTGACGCCAAAAACCTACGCCAACCTATAAGAAACGTGAATGTAAGTGTATTTGGGAAAAAGTTAGAACATTTCAAATGTTTGACGCCATTTCGGCTGAAATTTGAGAAATCGCGTTTCTATACGTCATCTGATCTCATTTTTTGCGCATTCTCAAAAAGGAAAATTAACGCTATTGTCCGCACTTTGTCCATATGTACCACTACTAGTCCTCCAGTTTAAGCTTTTTCGTTGTGGTTTTTTTTCTTATACGGTGTAGTACAGCCCAGAGACCAGAACGACAAAAATTTATTTGGAGTGATCACTTCCTTCTCGAGTTATTACTGATTCTGTGCGGGGAAAATGCGCTTTCGTCGGTCGCGGGTGATCACGTTTTTATCTTGTACACGTTAGCTGTTACACGAAATGCTTCTAGCATCTGGATTTGTTGCATTACAAATAAATTGTGAGAAAATAGAAATTACAGAAAAATAACATACCTAAATAAATGTGTTTCAAAATTAGTCAAATCATAAACGAAAACTTTAAAAATGAGCCTTTTCATATGAAAAGACATTTACGGAATTCGGATAGCCACCAATTCCGCCAAACTTAATTTTTTGCCCGAATTACATTGACCCACCTGCTAATAGAGCAATACGACAATTTATTAGTGTGGAAAGTAGTAATTAAGTTTGTCTTTATTTTATTAAAGTAACTTGAAATCGTGTGTAGGTAATAATATCAGCTACTGTTGAATTTTATTTTTCGCACAAGGTAAAAACATGACCAATTTAAATTTTTATTTGCACCATTAGTTCTACAGGTTTATAGCAAGTTGGCCACTTCTTATAACGCTCAATACGTCAACACTTTTGCTATTTTGGATTACTAACTGTTCCTATAATTGGTATTTTACATCGTCATTCTCTGCTCAGAGGAAGACAACCGAAATAGGTTCGAATACGAACAATAAATTAATTAATTAATTAAATTAATTGGCCTCAATCGCGTTTGTGTTTAACTTTAATTATAATTAATTTTAATATTAAGTAAGGAAGCACAGTTAGGTATAACCATTGTTTAAATACTTTATTTAAACAATGGTATAACTGAACAATTTCCGTATTTGATTCATTTGACTATACTTGCAATTTTTGTAGCGTCACATTTGTACAAAATCGACGAGAAACAAGGACGTCATTTGTTCTGCAAAGATGAAAATAGTAAGCTTTCTAACACTAAATTCTAAATTGAATTTCAAGCAATGAATATCCAACCAATTTGGTATGTTATCTTGTCAGTTTGGCAAAGGTACCTAATTGACAATGATTCAGAACTAATAGATTAATTAAATTGATTAATTTTACTTGTTTGTTGCAGAAATATTGTAAGTCATGAGCCATGACCAAAATAGAAGTGATTAGATTTTATGCTTCGGAGGTCAACACCTTGTCAAATATATTTTGATCGGCAAGATAATTACGGAATGTCTTACATTTTGAGAAAGCTCTTTAAGAAAGTAAGGTATGAACGACGATAAGGGAACTGGTGAAGTGTAGTGGTGAATTAATCGATGATAACATTCTTGGGAACGTTTTGTTTGGGTTCGCACCGTCCAATTTGCCTCCAAAAATCAATTCACATGTATTCGCCTCCGTAATCTCATTCATTACAATTTCACCAAAAATCTCCGAAAAACATCGACTGTTTGTTGACGACCTCTCGAGCTCGACTTCATAAGGGTGGGGGGGGGGTATTGAATACACCTTCCATATTATCCACAAGGCCTTCAAACTTACTACTATCATGGACTGGGTTTTTTTAGTCTATGCTACTATTATACATAATTCTGCGAATAAAGCACTCCCAGTGATGGACTGGCCCGGGAGGGGGCGGGTGGCGATTACCATCTGGCCTGTCGGTCATAATGGCCCATTGGAAATTTGTAAGTATGTGCTATATTAGACAGCATTAATGTAAGTTTCTTGCACTATTACTAAATTATTAACACGTTTCTCTCATTGGGGTGGAAGTTAGGTTGTTCATTATAAAATTCTGTTTTTATTTAAGTGTTTTACAATGAATTTATCATTTTGGGTCGTATTTTGAAAGTGCTGAAACACAGTTATAGACGACGCGCCTCGTTAGTCGTTTGGATTATGTATACGTCTTTCGCTATAAAAACCGGTGCACGTCATTGATTTATGAATCAATTTCAGACAAGTTTTCTATAGATTTCGCACACTTGTTTTTTTTTTTGTACATGTTGCAGTGTTGCAACATATGTCTAAAATTGATACACAAATCAATGACGTGCAACGGTTTCTATAGCGAAAGACGTATATGTATATTTTGTTACTTTTAATTATCAGCTGCAATTTTAAAAAAAACTATATTCTAATTGATTTTCGAGAAAGGATACTTTAAAATGAAGCAAAAAATGTTTTTGTGGCGCATAAGGAAAATTACTTATTTGCTTCTCTCTCACTCATAGTTTGTGCCATCACGCGTCTTTTAGCTGCGCCTTGCTATTCTATTTAATATAATAATATTTACTTTTATATAATGACCTTAGGGTAACGGAGACAAATTTACTTCAATTAACTTGCTATAAGTTCTAATAACACACTTACGAATTAATTTTATAAGTAGCCAGTGCTAATTAGATGAATTAATTACGGTCTTTACCAGCTTAACATGCATAGTCCTAAGTGATTGATAATTGGGTACGACAGTGTAAAGATAGCCATATCATAACGGTAATAAATAGTGTTACCAGTAAATAAGGAAATAACGAATAGGTAGGCGCACTTTATGAAATACTCAAATACCGTAAAGAAAAAATGCAAACGATAAATAGACATACAGTTATGCATAATAATTATAATAAGTATTAAAAGAGTAACTAAAACAGTGGTTATAGGAGTGTGGTAAACATTTGCAAATGGTTGGCCAAGAACAATAGTAGGTACGACTTTTTCTTCAAACACTGAATCATTATTTCGAAGAATCTGAATAAAACTATATCTTGGAATATTTACCATAATGGCATTTTTATGTAATACACTCGTAAATGTGGTTGAGTCAGGTATAAACTGTAATAAACCTAATAAGACAATGAGAGGTAGAAAGACACCTTGAACTAAGTAACATTAACTTTTAGTACCAGAAGATGGCATTTTACCTTCACTAATTTCTCCATTTTTTTTAAGAACATTTTGCCAAGAGTTGACTTATCTAAACCTATGCAATCAGTCAATCATAAGGAAGGCGTCTAAATAACGCTCTTGCCTACAGTTTGTAAAAAATGTTTATTTAGAATATTTCGCCATAAACAAATGCTAGTTTTAAAAACTTTCTCGTCCATTTTCTCTTATTGGCATGTTCAGTATCTCCATAAAAGAAGGAAAAGTATTGGCATACGCGTACTACCGATACGGTATTTTATTTATAAAATAAAAAAATTACTTTTATGCGTTTTCAGCTGTAATAATAATAAATTTGACGAAATTGACGCCTATTCAAGATTTATTACCTTGTGTATACAACAGAGAGGTAGTGTCAGAATCCCACACCAATTATTAATGGTAATTCAGAAATCTTGTGACCGCATAAGCATTGTGCTCGATTGAGGTGATGAATACCTCCTTTTACTTTCACGTATACCGATATACCATCCCACACAAACTTGCAAAACCTCCATACAGAAGAAAATTGATCGTTTTTTCGACGTTCAGTGGGAATTCCCAAGTTCATGAATTACCACCCAGCATAGGTTTCCATAAATATCGTAGCGAATATTGTACATCGCGGGCGCCATCACGTCGCAATCAAGTCGATAAAGGATTGCTGACTTCGAGAATGTTCCGTGATTTTCCTTGAAACTTTTCGTTTACTATACACTGTGTCCAAGATAAAGAGGTCTATCATGGGGATCTCCGAAACCATAGAAGTTATGACGATCGTTAAGTAAGAGAAAAGGGCAATTAAAGAATTATTGTCATGCTTTAAAGAAAATTCCGATTACTTCCGAAGATATGCCAGAAAACTGAAATTTGCTGATTTATTTTTTATTTTTTTCTGGTTGAACAGGTACAAATAAAATAAAACTTTCGCATTTCCACTTTTTCATCTCTCTTCTAGATACCGTTAAGAGATTTTCAATATAACGTTCCGTTTCGGGGAAATCATCATCAACTTTATTTTTTATATGGCCAGCAAAAAAGTACACATTGTATTGAGTGGCATCTTATATTATGAATACAACAATGGATAATTAAATAATTCCGCTTTAAGTTGGTGTTTCCTGCCTGAAAATATTTAGCTAACCTGATGCAGTTTCTCTCATATCGACAGAAATGAAAAAAGTATAAATTATGCACAACTCTCGTGCGGATGAAGCGCATTTTTTAAAACCGAAATAACTTAGCAACTGGTTGGGTTATAAGGTAGTAACATGCTATCGATGTTTACTTTATTGGTAGATTATTAATTGGGGAGAGGCTCTTGACACATAAACATTTAAAGACCGCCTGGCATACATTCAAAATCCTCCGACACTCTATTCTGTAGATATTTGCACCGAAAGCTTTGACATCACCAATGGGTATGTCTCGTGCTGACGTTCCACTTCCCTTTTATGAGTACCCTTTTCCGCTACTTCGTTGTTAAGGTATTTGCTTCGACTTCACCAAAAGATATGTGTCGTCCAGTCGATTCATTTTGCCTTTGAGAGCACTTTCCTCCGACAAACCGTTTTCGCTCTCAAAGTTTTGACATCACCAATTGATATATTTCTTCCAGACGTTCCACTGGCCATTCGTGAGTACACTCTTTAAACAATCCATTCTGGAGATATAAGGGAATATATTAGATCGCGACAAGGGGTCGAGGAGAGGACTATGGTTGGTAGAAATTAATTCCGTCCGTTGAGACCTTTCATTAGAGTACCATTAAGGATAAAATCAGTTCCACTCCCCCCTCCCTCCAGCCTCCTCTTTTGATAAGGAGTCGCAAAAAAGGGTGGTCGTTAGTGGAAAACGAAGATGCGATTGATCTTAATACACTATAAATCAATATGTATTAAGCAAAACTGTAATTTTTTTAAGGGCCAGAACTGGTTTATTTTTTGACAGTAAAAATCGCTAAGAAAATTCATACCGCCAACTCAATCGTGTAAAAGGTACAGAATCGTACATGCGATATTCAGGGACGCTCAGTCTTTTTGGAACACCCGGTATATGTTCTACTTGTGCATGCTTTGTATTCTTCGAAATGTCAGAAAAAACTGAAATGTGCAAAACCATTGCGAACAATTTTTCACTTACCTACTACCACTAATGCTACTAATTAATTTGTCGCATTAACAGGTCACGATCCATTTCAAAAAACGTATCCTAGAACGTATCATTGAGCGGTTTTGGAGAAAATCTTATGTGTGATTCGTATGTCATGTGTCATTAGTTCTTTATCCGCGCGAGAAAAGTTTAATTTCCGAGGCCTTTAATAATTAAATTGATTCGGCTGTTGGAGTGCAGATTTTTAAGTCTCTCTATAAACAATTCCAAATGAAACTACGCATAACAAAATATTTCACCAGACAGTGTATTTAAAGGTGCTCATATAACGGTAAATAAGACCGTCTTTGAAGTTATAATCAATTTTTATACATATATAAAATAAAGATGACATTATTCATAACCACATTCTCTTACTTGTATGAAACAGTTACGGCACGACGTAAGAATTTTTAAAACAAATTAAAACACGTCAAGTCTATCAACAGACTATGATAAATCTTAAGTTTCACAAAACATAGGATTTCCTAAAACGTCCTAAAGTTCGATAGGAGGTTATGACCTACTGTACTGACCCACAAGAAAGACAACAATTTATTTTAAAAATTAGTATTTACAAAACATGTACAAGATGCTGTAATCTTGCTATAATATAATTTTGCATACGTATTACTTTCGTACCGGGATCGCCCCCTATAGATTTACATCCTTCAACAATTTCCTTCGAATGGAGGGTGCTTAAATTAATTGCGGGACCGGTACTTCCTACCACCGATGTTATCGCCTTTTTGACGTACTCTTCTAACCTATTATAATTAACATCGTCATTTCTGAACATTAGCCTATCACTTTTCCAGACACAACGCAAGTAGTTGTTATAGACTTGGTTGCCTTCCGGGAGGAAGTCTCGCGGCGGAAGTACCTCCTTGAGGGGGTATTGGACGAACTTATTCACGACCTCAAATTTTGGAAGTTCTTCCAATAGCTTATAGTCAACACCGTGCGACACGCATTTATGAGGTATTTCGTTTGGTATTACTTTCGCTTGTGCCACATAAATATTGACCTGAAATGTAAATTTTACATCGTCTAACAAATCACGACTATTACTTACCAGTAAAAAGTCAATGAGCAGCACGTATTTTGTTGTAACTTTCATCATCTCGAGATTACTACGAGATCTTCAACCGTAATTCCTGTATTTAAAATGTAGTAAAAATAAAGATATGAGATGTCAATAAGGTTACATTTTTTCATGATAGGGTGCATAGCTCATTAGTTACTTATGCGTTATGCGTGTCTCACTGCATTTACTTCCCAGACCTGAGACCACTGTAGAATTTCGCCTCATATCGCAATTAGCAAACCAACAATAGGTAATTGTATGATTTCAAAAATTTGCATAGAACATAAAAAGGTTTAATGAACCAGGTTTTTGAACTTTTTAAAAATAAATGTAGAGATAATAGAATAATGCAAAGTAATACGTGAGTTATCGGTCAATATTTTATTTTTGGTTTTTATTTAATGTCATCGTACCCAACGATCATCAACATGTAAATGTTATTATTTTTATTAACTTACTATAAAGTCATTGCAAGACCAATGGCATAAATATCCAAACGTGATCCCACAGGACTGGCTTGAATTTTTATACATTTTTTTGCTGGTTGATCCAAATGTTTGTCTAAAAGTTTACTTTATTGCATTTGTTTGATACATTCATTTAAAGTCCTTAATTTGAATTATAATTGCTGACTAACTATGTGGTGTCTTCTAAATGGATTTTGAGCCGATGTTCACTGGAAGTACATAGCACTGCGTGATTGTTAATACGTCGTTCTTGATTAAAGATTTGGACTGAATGGCACAAGCAAGTGGGATCTCCAATAAATAAGTTGGATTTTTGAATCTTGGCTTGCCATTGATTGATTCGTTGATTCGTAATGTAATGAAAAGCGATATACCTAAATATATGATTGTATAAAGCATTCAAATGAAACTGATTTTTCTAAAACCAGAATATTGGTCTACGCTCTAGCTAGACTCTAGACAGACGTGGAGAGATAATTGATTCTTTGTAACTACATAGTTCATTAAGAAATTACTGTTTTGATTATACTTGTGTAATTTTGGCATTTAAATCCTTTTTATTACGTAAATTTTTTTCAATTGAGTTAAATTTATTACTAATTTCTATTGAGAGTGAACTTTGCTTTGCACTGCTAGAAACTATCTTGTTTTTTAAGACTGAAAGTTTGCAATTAATTTTTGATAGCGTTACCAATGATTGATTTGAATATCGAACCGGTCCGGTAATTAATCCTTTTTTTATAGGTACTTGTTGGATGGAGTTGTATTTCCTTAATTTTTATTTTCGATTTCATTTAATTTTTCGGCTCTTACTTTTATTAAATTACAAAAACGATAGGTGACCTGCAAAAAAATGACATAATAATAGGATATGAGATTATAAAGGTCGTTTCAAATTGTCTACTTTGTCCTTGAAGTTGTTTGTTGTTTGTTTATTGCTTGGAACGTTGTTGGATTTCGAAATTTATTAGCGGTTTTTTGCTTTACATGTTTTTTTTTTCATACAAACTTTAGTGCCTGGTTTGAGTAAGCTTGGTTTTGTCGTTAGTTTCGTTAAGTTTGGCAATTATTTTTTCTTTTAGTTATTAAAACAAGTCAATTTCCGCGTCCCTTCACATTTATAGCATCTCTTGCATCAGGTTTGCATAATACTCTTCCGACCGTTACCGCACTTTCGCACCGCACCGCATTCCATGAGAGTCCCAAACAATGATTCCCATTATTTTTCCTGTAGAAGAGGTGAATTTAACCTTTTTGGGAGGGCTGGAGCCCTTAACATGTCACGGCACCGACTCTTGCTTCGATTCAGGATCATAATGATGAACTCAGGTATCATCTCCAGTGACAAGTCGATTGATAATTAAATCTGGTTCATCCAAGAATTGTTCAGAGGTCTCTACGCGGACACGCATTTGGAATCTTGCACTAACCTTTGTCGTTCTAAGGTACTCGTGTAAAATTCTGAAAACCGTGGTTTCTGAAACTCTTAGTGAAGTTGCTAATTGTTGCTTATTTAGTCTTGCATCCTCCAGTACCAAACACTTGATTTTTTCAACAACGTCTAAGTGATCACGTCAACAGGGCATCCTTGACGGGGATCATCATCTAGTGATTCCCGGTTATGTTGAAACAATTTTGACCACTCCCAAATAGTTGACTTAGAAGGGCAATCATCACATTTTTTCAAGAATAATTTTTTGAGGTTTTTCTTGTTTTGTAATGAAAACACAGCCCGGTGTGGGGACAGCCGGACATGTCAAGGATGGACGACCTGAGAAAAAGACAAAGTTATTCATCCGTTTTATAAGGTGGAACTGACCGATGAGCTAAAGAAAAAAGGCAATTGTACTGAATGAAGACATTGTTTTAAGGCATTTATCACCAGGAGACCCAGATAACCCAGATATTGTTTGGTAACGTTTATCCGCCGTTTTGAAGTTTCTTCGTTGAAACCAGATGAACCCGGAAATGACGGCGCTTCTTTAGGTTCTTGCAGAAGATCTAGCAGGTGGTCAGTGTATCACGCACAAGACCAGAATGAGGTGGCACCATGTTACCGGTATTTAATGAACCTTCAACCGTTCCAGGAATGATACCTTATTCCAAGAAAACTTTTATTATCTAAATCCCGGCCAAGTATTTGTTATTGCCGGTGATCAGCCTATTTACGCAATCATGCAAAAGCTCTAGTGTTCCCACGAAGCTGTAAATAATGTTGTAATGCTGTAGCAGGTTGGCACACCGAAAAACATCATATAAAAGCAGTTGGAGATTTACTACGAATACTTCTAGAAGAAGCCCCATCAGGAAATATCACCTCAACTAAGTCTCGATAAACGGATAGAAAAGGTACGTGGTAGTTCAAACGTTTGCGTATTAGATGCTAGTATTGGTAGTGGTAAACTCTGAAGCTCTTCTAATGACCCTTGTGAGGGCTCATCGGCAAGGCAACTTTAAATTGTAGGTATGTTAAATGCTTACAGGGCATTCATTCAGGATGGCGACGCGAGCGGTCCTCCTCCAAGGCCGAAAACATGGTTTTTGTGCTTCAAGAGTCAAGACCCAGACAACATATTAAAAACTTACTATACTGCACCACCATTTGTAGGGTAAAAATCAGTTCTGACTGGCGTACTAATTACCTACTAGCGTAAGTACTTAGGGTTTTTAAAGTTGAAATGTTGAAGAAATTTTTGAAGAAAGAAAACAATTAGTCACTATAGTTTAGTAATATTCGCAAAAACAATGATAAATTTTTTATCCAACACCTCTATGTTATCCAGTCATTATCATGACGAAATTAAACGAGTAAGGTATAATATAACCCACTAATGAGTTATGGACGTAAAATAACTCACTAGCAAGATAAAGTACAGGAACATTCTTTTATTAATTAATTTTTTGTTGTTTATTATTCCCCATAGCAACGAATTATTGCTTTTGTATTCCATGCACTCTAGCTTTTCGCGGAACACGCAGTTTTTAAGATTTCCACGTTTTAAACCAGCTTGAGGAGGTGTTGGATAAAGTTTTGTATGGTGCACGTGTGTTAATTACAAATAAGTCACTTGAGAAAATAGCCCCACTCGGCCTGACGGCCTCGTGGGCTTACTTTTTTCTCGCGTGACTTATTTGTAATATAACACACTTATACCATAAATAACTATTATTTTATCCTAAATCGTTATAGTAACAATAACTCCTTAGCGACGGGTTATGTTAAGGTACATTTAACAACACTAGTGCTGTAAAAAATTTCTTAACAACACTGTTTTTTATTGGCCAACAATGCAGTATAGAATATAATTCATGGAACACATTAACTACTAAATAACGGTGTATTTTCTTCGGTTTTAGACTTGTCACTGACTGTCACATTAATTGTACAATTTTGTACGTTTTCAAATTTTATTCCACCAGAAGAAACGGTGCCCGAGTAAGACTATCCAAGGCTGATATTTCTCAAGGAATCATCGGCGGTGTTAGTAGGTACCAGTGTCGTTAATCATTCTCGTTTTGGAAAACATGCTGGTCTTCATAAAGGATTTAACTATTTCATAGGAAGAAACGTCTACATTTTCATGTGTGATCAACATTTTTTTAAGCATGGAGACTTTCGTCCATACAGAGGAAGCTTCAAATTTCTTGGACTAACAAAAAAACTTTCACTTATATGAATAAATAACAGAGAATGACTTACCAGTTCAGAATCGTATGTCAACATGACATCTAGTTTGACTAAAACAGTTATTTAGCTGTCAACATTTTAATAAATCAAATTCCTTTTTATACCTATCCGCAGACTTGTTTGGTATTAATTTGCAGCGAACTGCATCAACTTTTTCTTTAATGTATGAATTACTCTATAGCACATTTTCGTGTAAATTTTCTCGAATAAACAAACTGGGTAAACAAACGCTGATTGTCATAGATACCCTTAGATACCTTACGCATGGCCGACTGTAAGATTCCCTGGTTTATCATTCTACCTATAATGAATGTCGTATAAGGAACATGAATGAGGAATGAGGATAAAATAAAACGTGTTACGAAACACGTAACGTTATTTATAAGGTTTTACATTCCTCGGGAATTTTAAAGAACTCGGGGCGTTGCCCCTCGTTCTTCAAACATATTCCCTCGTAATGTAAAACCCATAATAACGTTTCTTGATACGTAAACTACTATTATTGCTTCTAACTTGTCTGGGTTTGTTTTACACCATCAGGACTTACTATACTTGTTCTAGGATCTAGGCTAACAAAAACATTTTGACTTGCAGGGCAAAAATCGAGTAATTGCAAATAAACACAACGAAATAGTAAATGAGCACAAATAGTCTAAATAATAATAATTAAATAAATAATTTCCGAAAGACTATTTCTTATAAATAAAGTAAAGTGAAACTGTATCATTTTTACAGTAGGTCACTGAAAATGTACCTACCATGAGACAGCACAAACTTCTAATAGAATGCGTTTCGATTATGTGTATTACACGGACCACATCTCTAAAAATAGAAGTGTAATTTTGGTTAAGCTTGAGATAATAAGTATTAATTCAGCGTTCGTAATTAATTTTATCAAAAAAAGCAAAAACCGCAAATTTTTCTAATCCATTAATCAATTCCTATATTGGAAGTGCACACGCGGATTTTCGAGACGAAATTAATATCAAATACAAATTTAATTTACAGAACGCGTGTTTTAATCTCTCAATTTGATTATTGATTTTTTTGCGGTACCGAATTTAGATTTACGTTTGCTCCCCTTGAATTTTGTCGTTCTGTTCCTGCAATTCAGTTCTAGTGGACTGTTATTAAGTGGCAGAGCAAAGCGGCGCAAGCTTGATAGGGGAGTCGGTGGTGTCTGTCTGTCCATCCGTGAACACGATAACTGTGAAAAGCTTGGACCGATTCGGTTCAAACTTTACACAGCTGACCTATATTCCACATGTAACAAGCCCTGAAAATGGGTGAAATCCAATGACCCGGTAGGGTAACACCGAGATGTTCTGCCGCTTTTTTAAATCCGCTTTAGGGGTTTATTTCTTGTTGCATACTTTCACCTCATTCTTTCCTTATCTTTACCTATTCCCATCAATATCTGTCTCTTTCATAGTATTTTTCCTTTTCTCGCGCTAGTTTGGTTTTACATTGAACCTTGTTGGCAAGCATTCCTTCACCAAATCGTTTTTTCCCTTCTCCTCGCGTCTTACTTTCCTGCGTCCCGTCACTCTTCTTATCCTCCTGTCTCTTCTTGTACTATGTAACTTGATGTTCGTTCGTAAAGAGCCAATACCCACTCGAAATACCTTTATTGTATTCCATCCAGCGCCCCCCCATTTCTTTTATAGCTACATTACATAGGCGCATTTGGTTTACAAATGGAGCGATTTTTATGATAATGCCGTTTTAGTTTTAGTATGGGTTACCAAGCTTTGATGTGATGCTATATTAAAAATATAATTATAAAATTGTATACATGAATTATGTTTGTTGTAGAATCGCTCGCATCGATCCCATATGAATTGTCTGTATTCTGGAACCTCTTAGGTCATTGCTAGTATACGTGTATGTAAAGTCCCAGCAGTAGACACCAAAAAACGTAGATAGACTGAATACTGTTGGTTTCAACAGGATGGTATCACCCGCGCACAACTCCCTAATCGTACGAGAATACCTATCAGAGAAATTTTCCGTTATTCAGGAAATTTCTATTTTTTTGTACCTGCCCAAGCAACAAACTTATCTGAGTTGTCATTTAATATACGTGCGTTTAACCATATTTCAGTAATTTTTTGGTTATGGTGTATTGATTTAACGTATACAGTTAACGTATATCTGGCAGTAAGTGTAATATACGTGTATGGTTTACCATTTTATATATGACAATAATGTAAATCATTTTATTTTGTTATCCCTTTAATAACAGATGACTCCTTTGCATATTAAAATACACACCTTGGTCATAGCCCAACAGTATGGGTTTTCTTACATTAAAATAAAATTAAAATAAAATATGGAAAAAATCCTTGTTTTGGTCCTCTCTATCAGCCAATAGTTTGTACATACCTAACTTTTTTATTATTCCTTATAAATAGATGTAGTATTTAATATTTATACAATAATTAAAATTTGCTGTTGATGCTAAGCCTTCAGTTTAAGCACAGCTTTATGATTTCAATTTCAATTTGGAAACATTTTGGAAATGCTGTCTTCTAGAGTTAGTAAAAATGCTCAACGTTCAATTTGCTCATAATCCACACAGACCAATTTAAGTTGCAGTGCTCCTGTGAGGTGGATTGGAGCGCACATGCGGGACTCGACCTGCAACCACCTCCTCGTGGTGATTCCTGGGTAGTGCTGTGAACTAGCCGAGAGTTTCATTCAAAAAATTTTGCTTCTAAACCATGTCAATATCGATTTTCGTTACAGCGATATAACTGAAATTGGGTATTTATATATCAAGCAGGGCTTTATAAATACGACCCGTTGATTATATAATTAATAAATAATAAAAACTATATTGAAAAATAAAATATAAACAACCAGGCGAGTCCATAAAATCCCTGTGTACTCGGTGTATACAATGTTTTATGTACAGCTGCAACTAATACTTTTTAAAGAAGAAAATTTAAGATAATTCAAAAACAATGTAAAATCTTTATATACAATTAACAGTTAAAAATGTCAAATATTTTAAGCTATAAATATCTAGTTATTTCTTGAAAGACTCTGAAGATACGGCTGTGCAATTGTCAGATTGCCCTTTTTCTCTACCATTATGAAATAGTTCGTAATCTTACAAATTATGGCTGCGTATCGCTTATTAAATCATATTATTATCAAGCAGTAGGACATATAACTCTCGCCAGGAAAGATTGCCGGTCACAGAACACTTGATCTCGGTCTACAATCTATGTTTTTCTTAAGTAGCGAGCGACTTCCGGAATAGGATCGTGCCAATGTTGAACGAAAAGTCTTTTTGTTCAACATTGACACGATACTTTTCCGGAAGTCGCTCACATCTTCAGAAAAACATAGATTGTAGACCGGGATCAAGTGTTCTGTGACCGGCAATCTTTCCTGGCGAGAGGTTTACGTACATTTTCACTCTGGACATACAAATCTCCTATGTTCAATTCTGAAATATACATGTCAATGCATTGATATGCCCGGCAGTTATGCAACACCCACCTTACACACGAATGTGACAGCAGTGTAAACAAAAGAAACTTACGTAACTGGCGATCAAAAATGAGTTGCTGTCGAGTCAGCTTTGGAATTTCAAGTTAAGTACGATTTGCTATATAAACAAAAATTCCAAAGGTGACTCGACAGCAACTCATTTTTGATCGCATTGTATTCGGCCAATTGACGGAATTGACTTATGAGGATATTTAGCAGAAAATATATCTACTTCTTAATTTAATAAATATTTCAGATATTGAAGTTTGTTCAGAGTTAAAATTTACACTGTATGTAACGAAATATCTGACACTTCCAAATCTTTTTTATATAAGCACACTGCCGATGTCAAATTTAAAGCAGGGTGATCGAGGATGATAGCATCATAATTAGATCCTGGTTCCAAAGTATTGATAACTTTCTTAATATTATTTTCAAAAATAGCGTTTTAACATTTTTTTAATCCTACAATATACATTTAATTGCACTAAATTTATTCAATATTTGGCACATTACTACAACAATAAATATTCAACAGTAACTTCATACAAATATCAACTCAAAGTATCATGAGAAGTAGATAACCCTATTCTTTTGTATAGATCATTTAGAGCTTGCTCTTCTAGTGAATCTTTTGGCGCAAGGCGGTCGAAGCGATCATGCCAAACGGGCGGCTCTTTATAGTAAGCTTGTCCTTTATTATGCACGTGTAGATGTACCGAAGCCTGCGGTTGATGCTCAATACTGCCTGCGCCGTGCTTCAAAACTGATAATTTCGAAACAAGACCAACGGAAGTAACGATCAATATCAGAACACCCATTCCTAGACTCTTAAACATCATGATAGACAAAAACGCCAGAGCTGTCACAATAACTCCCAACTTGAAAACCACAAAATTCATAACCAAATGCAACTTCTTGATGGCGCCCACGCATCGTCCTAAAAGTTGACGGATGGAATACGAACGTGCGAATTTAGTACTTACCTACAAAAGTGTCTTGATTACTCTGAGTGATCCACAGCCAGTAGCTCCTCAATTTGTTTCCAATTTCTTCGACATGATTCGTGCCTTTTGCCAAGTTTGTGTCCTGAGTTGCCGACGAGGAAAGGTAGAAGGTAGCCAGTAGAAAAAACGAAAAGCTGTACTTCATTATCTTCTCTTAGACATAGTCTAACTTTCAGCTGAAATTACAGGATAATTAATGTCAACTCGAGTAAGTTATTTCGAAAAGTCATTATATGGTTAACATTGCGTGACTTGTAAATGAACAAAATGTGCAATTACGGTAATTTTTGTACACAAAAAGTGCATGTATATAAAGTGAGTGTTTATCTGATTTTTCGATCTAAATCCACGCTGAAAGCGCATTGTAATTGACAAATGGGCTATTAAAATTTTAATGGTATGGCGTAATTGAATTTATATAGTTAGTTAGTGCAGAAGGAAAGGCAAAAACCTTTCAAAATTATCTTTGGCTGTGTTTGTAAAATGAGTGTCCTGTCGTGTTAGAAAATGCATCTTTACGGCGTATGAAAGTTTATTAATTGCTCTAGAAAAACACAATAAGCCATATTCAACTTAGCTTGATCTAAATCTTAGTATCGTAGATTCTCTAGGAGTAGGAGGCTTTTTCCCACAACAGTTGACCTTATTCCTACCTAAATAATCTCATTTGAATTCCCTTTTCTCATTACATGGAGTTAGATAGCTAATAGCTGTGATCTGTTTGAGCCAACTCAACCGCGTCTTATTTAAAATGTATTCAGTATTATACAATTTCTTTTTACCAGGAATTGACTATTACTTCGTAATTTGAAATGGAATATGAGCTTTTCGACATTTTTGGATATTTACTTATTTATTTTATTTTATTATTTATTATCCCTCTTTTGTTCTGGGCCCTCAACAGGTTTGCGCTCAATTAAAGAATACAGAGTGACCCGCATAACTTACCTTACCTTACGAATTAGGAAAACTGCAGGAAAACCTAATTCTGAGTAGCCGGCAGAATGCTCAAAACTGGTCTAAGGGAATTCTCATGTCTGTCACAGATGAAAAGTTCACCTCATGGTCTAAGGGAATTCTCATCTCTGTCACAGATGAAAAGTTCACCTCAAGCCAGGTTCGAACACCCGACCTCCGTATTTATAACCATACCATTGAACCAAAAAGCCATGATTTACTTAAATAAGACATCGATCGATTCTGTTATGTAACCACAAAAAATACCTGGTGCTCCGGAGTGCACATTGTCAGTTCTAAATGCGATAACCTAGTTTTGGGCATAGAAAGTTCCATTTTTTTTTTTCAATAATGGACTTATTTGATTTTTTAGTGTAGTGTCAAATTCTCATTTTCAGAAATGGCAACTTTCGCGCGTATCGTTGAGCACCCTGTGTACATTTTTGAACACATTTTACCTAACAATTAAAGCACAGAATGTTGTTAAGATGTCACATCTGGTCAAATTTGGGTATTTTATAAAAAGAAGTCTTATCGGACGAAATTTAATTAACGCACGTGTTCTTGCAATGGACGTTAGATCTTTTATTTCCAAATACTTGGACCCGGAGGAACCTATGTCTCAACTTTTAACATTCTTCCCGTTCGAGAGTTATCGTGGAGACAGACATAACTATAGAAAGGATCTATCAGGAAAATATGTTTCCACGGAAAACTCCCTCTGAATTTGCCTGAAACTTAACATCTGCCATATCTTACCTACGTATATATTTGGTCAAGAAATAATTTTCCTTTGAATATTCACCCTGAAAAATAGAAAATTCCTCACGAGCCTCATTTCACGCTATTCATTCTCTAGGGAGTTTCTAGGTCAAAAAACGCCCTTAAGCATAGTATCTGCATTTAGATATTCCGTTATGGGTGTTATTCGTAGATATTCAATTCTGAATTCTGAATGTAGAGGGAAAAAATGGCCATAATAATGTGTCATTTATTTTGAAATATATTTTTATGTAACTTCGGTAAAAAATAAAAACGATTTTACAAAATTTCATTTTTTCTGTCCGAAAGTAGTCGGAATTTTTTTTGTGTTTCAAAACAGCAACATCGAATTTGAATCAGCCTGTATATCGATACGACCCCAAATCATACAAGAAGGATGCATGTCATTTAAAAATCAAAAGGAATGTCGCATTTTCGGATTTCCATTCAAACGTTTATCCAGTTCTAGCTTATTTATGCACCAATTTTGGTGTTTAGTTGCCACATCATGCATTTTTACTACATTTTTTCACGATTTGTTTTTTATGCTTTTTTCAAGTACAGATTAGATTACATCGTCGAAAAAAGAACAAACAAAACTGCGATTAGGGCCGGTTTTCTTTGCCTAAACTTATCTGACCATTGAATTTCCATGTACGAATGTTAGTCATGCAATCTCACTCTTGGCGGAACATCCTATATTCCCACAAATAATTTTAAAACAGTCGCTCCCGGGCAAGGGGCATGTATACTCGTCCATAACAAAATCCTTCGCTCACGTGGTAGGAGTATCTGTATCTAAGATAAATGGCTTAACGATTAAAATTATCTTGTTGATTTTAGTTCTACTATTTAAAATTATCATCAAGATAAAAGAATTATTTTATTTTAGAAATAAATAAATAGGTCTTTTTATCAACAAGATAAAGAAAATGATTTCACTGGATCTTAAGCTAGACACAGACGTAGAAATTTGTCTTAAGACATGCCAGTGCGTTAATGACATATAAAAGCTAACCCAAGAGTTTTCTATGGTTAATGAACGTGTGTGCAAGAACGTTCGTCTGTAATCGAAACTTTTGGAATTTTGGAGTAGATGTGCGACACAGTTGCACGACTTTCATGTGAACACTTCAGCGACGGACGGACGTGCTGCATGCGCGTTCATTAACGCAACTGCATGTCTTAAGATTTTTGAGAATTTTGTTGAATAAGTCCGGGACATTATGTTCATGTATTTTTGTTGTACCTGTAACACTAAATTTATAGTATTTTGGTTATTTCCATTGTCATCGTTTGTTAGGCGTTTTTCTCAAAATTGCAATAGTAAAAAAAAAGAAACAAGTAAATCTAGTCAAAAAGATATTTATGAAACAACATTGCTTAAGTAAAACGCCCTGGATACGTTCTACTGCGCTCTCAGTTGACTACGAGGCATTAAACATTCAGTGCAAATTGATATATTCGACAAATGATTACTAGCCTAAAAAGTAAAAATTCTTCACACGAATTGAGAGCAAAATTTTAGTTTTTAATTTAGTTATTTTTCAAATCTTTTCCCTCATTGTTTTACATTTTAGAATTGGGTAATGAAGATGAATTAATTCAATTGAATATTTATTGCTCTTTATCGAGTAGTTATACGTTAAGGAGTTTTTATCCAAATGTTGTTTTGTCTTTCACAAGTAAAACCATAATATATTGTTTTCTAAAATTAAATGTCGATAAATTAACAATCTCCTTAGGCAAACAATACACAGAGTTACATAACTTAACTTTATTGGGCAATTTGCTATTTGGAGAGATTAATTGTTACTGATTTTTTTGACGCAAACAAATGTTTTGGTACACTAACAAGAAATAAATCAGAACATTACAAATCAAGGGATTCACTAAGTAAAAATTGTGGGTCAACGAATTTTATATTCGGCCTTTACAATAGATTCATTAAATTGTCTCTTACTTCCTAGCAAAACGTAAAACGCTATTCGCATACATATTTCTTGGGACAATGAAAGCTTAGTTCAGATAATAAGGTGGAATTATCATTTAATGAGCTAATTATCTAGAAAAGTAAATTGAAGATCCTAAAGTATGTCTTTCACTCAAATTAAGCAATTCCAAAGTGATTAAACACTTCCTTTAACTAAGGAACTAACATAAGGAAAATAAATTAAAGGGAAAATGAAAATATATAGGAATAAAATCCATTTCCACAACTTGCCAATGGTTTATTTTTATATTTAATCATGAGTGGGAGAGGGTGGATTATGTTTTTTTAATGCAACAGTTTGAATTACACCGGGTACTAGTCAACAAATTTTGTGTGCAGTTAGACATCGTTTAACAATCTTTACTACAGCGTTGTTAACAGGCATTTACTGTCTTTTTTATGTTGTAAAAGTAAGATACCGTAAATTTACACGAAACTGTTCTGTTTGCAGCTGTATTTACGCCAGTTAATTCACTAGACAAAAATTACCTGTTACTTACGTGTTTTGACAGCAAAATTTGCTCGACCACCTTTACATGTATAGTGCCAAGCCTATGGCATATTATACTGTTAATCATGAATATTTTGGTACTTTAAATGCTGGGCATGCTGCTTTGGATCGGTATGTAGGTCGTGAGAATGTGACAAAATTGGCTGCAATAGAATTTTCCAAATTATTTGGCACAAGGGAAAATTTATAACAAGAATACCAGCAGCTTATTTTTCTTTTTTCATGCTTTATAAACTCTGCGTACTCATTTTCAAAACGCGATCACTTGTACTCAGTGAACCGACTAGTTAGCGAATAAACCATCACCTACACAGTTATGACTAATTTATTAATAAATTCAGAACTTACTATTGTGACATGATCTTCATTCGGGAGTGCACGAAGAACTCTGGGCAAGTTGTGCAGTTATCACCTTGATCATTACTCTGATTCTACATCACAAACACTAAACCACGACCTGTTTGTCCCTAACTTTCTTTCATAATTATCGATCAAAACGCACAAACAAACGAAGCGTCCACTTTGGTAACGTACAATGAATAAAGAAGAAATCCTCGCGATGATGCTATAAGAACTGGTTCCCTTAAGTGTAGGTACGTATCTAACTGTAAAATGGTTATAGCTTTTGCTTATTAACTCTTTTAATAATCCAATTGACGATAGAAAGAGAAATTGAAGCATGATGGACTATTATTTGTTTTTCTTGCGATTTTCTATACACACTAATGGAATTTCTTAATTTCACCAGGATTTTGTCTGAGTCACTTTATTATTTTGGTATTCCTTTAATGAAATTTCCAATCATGTGTCGTTTGAACAAAAACAAACAACCAAAACGGACACGCTTTCGTTAAGAGGCCGTCTTTAGTGACCGCCAATTATTGTAGTAGAGCGTGCAGAAGTAGTACAGCATTCGTAATAGTCGAGTATTTTTCTAATCTCACCAACTGTGATCTAATAATCAGTGAAAAGTTATTCAAAGAATACGCCACAATACTGCTTTAGTGTCCAGTTCATCATGTCACCTACGTGAAACGAGAGACCTCAAAATACTTAAAAATGACATGTCCGAAAAAAATCTGTTATTCCTTTTTGTAAAAACTCTAATGAAACGCGGCACGCCAAGTGTTAAAAAAGTTATTGTCGTGCAAAATAAAGTTAGAAGGTTCGTTTTTATAGTGTAGTGAAATGAAATAATAAAAAGAGACTGTTCGTTGTAATATCTGTAATAGTTTTACAGTGGATTAATAGGAAAATTCTTCCCCTAATGCATTCGAAAATTCACCCTTGGAATATTCGCCCCTTAGAAGACCTGGCCACTGAAAGAATCTTTCTCGGATGATTCGCGCTTGAAGAGTTACCCTCGGGATTGCTCCCAAGGAAATTCGGCCCCAAAGGATTTTCTTCCCACCGGAAAAGTTTGCAACCAAGGAAAGTTCTCTCGCGCTGATTGCTACGATGGTGTTTCATAAAACTTTTACCTCAAATGATTGAAGTAATGTGCCTATAGTTTCCTTTTATTTTTGTTGGCGCAATTGGCACTGATGTAAATTCGCCTTTGACCCCAACAAAATCCACCTGGGAATGATAAATTCGCATCTGTTACATTTATCCCCATACGCCTTCTTCAGAATATTGCAGAATATATGTTGCACCAAGGAACACCTTATGTCCAGCTTGACAATGACCTTAAGAAAACTCCCCTTGGAATATCTGATATGGATTCTTCCATGACGAAGTTAAAGTTATCCCCTAAAAAACTCGCCTCCAGCTAAATTCCCCCGCAGCATACTCGCCACCGGATTTTTTCCCTAAACGAAAATTTGACTGTCTTCGGAATTGTAACAGCAAGTCATAAAAATGTAGATGTGTAGAGCATTTCTTAAATGTTGCATAATATAATTCCATACTTCCTCAAAAGATACAAACCGCCCCTTAATTTAGTACATATATCTTACCCTTCAACCGAAAATATTTAACCATAGAAAATGCTCTGTCGCAGGTTCCTGTTACAAAATCAAGATATAAAATGAATTGTTAGGTAATGGGCGGTATGACCTAGCTGTTAAAGCCCGATGTCAAACAAAAAATTTAAAAAAATCTTCTAAAATGCGAAAAAATGTACAAGAACATAGGGAGTACACTTAAGCATACCAATTAAGTGATTTATAATTATGTATTCTATACTTTTAACTATAGTTTATGTTTGTTTTATTTATGTGTTAACAGTTTTATTTTTGCAAGTAGGTACGTATAAATTATGATTGGTTGAGTAACACTGTAATTTTTATTCGAGAATCCCCCAAAACCTACTCAAAGACGTGCGCCAGTCTTTGTAACTCATGATTGCTGAGAAAAAAATTAAAGAAGAGATGCATATTTCACCACTTTTTTGAAAATGTCTCCAAAACGGAGCATGTTGGACCCTCGGTTTATTTGGAAAAAAGTGCTTATTTTGATCCCCTATATCGCCCAATTTTTTTACTAACTTATATGTAACGCTCTGTATATTGCAAAAGTTTAACGACAAATAAGTGTTTATATTCCTACTAAAGCAAGATCCCAGGGCCCCCAAACCTTACTTATTTTCTTATGGACAAAACATGTACAGTAGGGTAGTATTAGTGTGTACAATTAAGGTATACAAACCTCCTAACTTAAGGTACCAGGTGCTACAGGTGGATAATTGTACCCACGTTACTTACAATCTGAGGACTGATCCTTACGTATGTAGGGAACAGTTCTGATTTTAAAACATGTTTTTAGTCTTATGGTGGTTTAGTTAGGCCATTATTTTGACTCAAAACATAGGTAATGATCGGCCAAAAGTCTATCCAAGTTAAGTAAAAATAACGTGTTTTTAATTAACATGTTAATTATCGATCAAAATATCTGTTTCAAAAAACATGTCTAACATGTCATTATGCAGATTGAATTTGAGGGGTTACGGTCCCAACACTTGGGTATGAAATGATCGGGAAATTTCATCATAACCGGTGTTCCCATCATACGCAAAATTGACGTATCAAGGTGTTTTTTTTTCATTCCCCCTTAACTATCCGAAAACAACTATTTTTTATGTGCGAGGCGCCACTCTTTTGAAAAAGCGTCTGGACTTTCGTGGGTTACACCTTGCACTAAAAACTAATAATAAAGTTTGCACAATAAGGAGTACAATGGGTAAGCGAAAGTAAGCGAAACATTACAATTTGTACTGTAGTTAGTTATAAATGCATATTTTAATTTTAAAAAAATTAATTATATTTACAATTAGCTGCTAAGCGAAAGTGCACACTGCGCATCCTATTGTAAAATAGCGTTCAATTATTGCAACCTACTTTTGCTCGCCCGTAGCCTTAATTAATGATGTGCCGATACAGAAAATGGGGTCACCCGTTTTATGAAATGTGTTCATAATTGAATTAGGAATAAGCAGCATCGTGCGTGTAAGGCAAATTTTTTAACCTTTTTCCTATTTTTTTCTTGGTGTGTGTAAAAAACTGTATAGGTAAGTATAAAGACTAAAGAGGAAGGTGGCACTTTGTACAATATGTGAGTTTGATCTTAATTATTCAAGAAATGGTCCATGCAAGTCAAAATACGTTTAATAAAGTATTAAAGGTGGATACTTTGGCAGTTGCTTTTTTTATTATTTGAAGTGTACCTTACTTTCGGATCATTAGTACACAAATCCGATTAACAAGGTCACCGACAATTGAAGAACTGAACGCCGTATGAATCAAATTGTATTTCCAAAACAGAACAATTTTTACACATAAAGATTAATATTCACATAAAAATTAAAAACAGGTATTAAAAAATGTATTTACGTAAAAAATCTTTTGTAATCTAGAGAAATTTTTCTGATTAGCCTAACCTTGAACACAAACATAACCAAATAACAATCTCAATTTTTCAAAATTTTAATGAAAATTGTGATTTGTTTATTTTTTCTGCCAGTAACAGTAGCTGTCAGCTACAAATTTATTTGAAATCTATTCCAAATTAAATTTACAATCCGAAACGGTAGTGGAGAAAAATATTTTAGGTAACCTGAAAGATCCAACAACAAACGTTACGGTAGTCAAACATGTTTGCTGAATAAACAGGGTATCATAAGGCATATCAAGAAGCATGGCATGTCTTTGGATAGGATATTGGGTATTTATGTACTTTCCGATTTTGTATAAACAGTTTCAAAATTCTTGCCCCAAGCATTGTTTTTTAAACAATGCCCCAAGATAGCGCACCCGTAAATAAAAAGGAGAAAAAAAATTCTGATTTTGGTGAATCTGATATTTTGAACCACCTTTTACCATGAGAATGCATCACTTTCGCTTCAAAGGTCACACTGAAAACCTTTTCGACACATTTCTCAATAATATCTCAAGAACGAAAGATATTTCGTGATATTCTAATCATTTTCATTGTCCGGCCAAAAACTGCAGCCGACCTTTTTACCAAGAATCAAAAACTAATTGCAAGTTTCACCCCCATTTAGTCTGCACCATCTTGGGGTAGCAATTTTAGAAAATTGTTACTAAATATTGGAAAGGGTATACCCAATACCCTAACCAAAGATATGTCATCCGTCGTGATATTGTTCTTAAGAAAAAATTTAAGAGATTAATTTTGGGCACTTTTGTAAGGGTAGCTTTCAAACGAAGCATTTGCAATCCTTGGTTTACGTGAAAACTTGTTTTGGTCCCCTCTATCAACCAATTTTTTTGGCACGGCTTAAGTGGATCCCTGTATATTGAACAAACGTCAAGCAGAATTATGGCCGTTTGCACCGACAAATTTATGCGGAGCTTAGCTTAAGCGGCAACCATTGTCTCAATAATCGTTGCCATGGATGTTAAGCTACGCCTAAGCTAACCTCCACTTAAATTTGTCGGTGCAAACGGCCATTAGGCTCCTATCTGTTTAGGGTGCGTTAATACATAAAATTAGTCTAACATATATTCTAATTCCTATGGTAACGGGATGGTAAAATCATACTTGTCAGGCTCTGCAGTTACCTTTAGATTTTACTAAAACCAGAACTCTTTATCGCACATATAACGAGAGCCCGGCCCATTTTTCTCCCACTTTCGCTTTCGACGAATCTACGATGGGTTTACCCATGACGGATGTTAAGGACTTACTGCGTTTCATGGAGCTTGGTCCGAATGCATGAGTTGAGAGGATATTCAAGAGGAATACGTGGAGAGAATTTTATATAAATTATAAATTTTTATTTCGATTAAGATTTTTATAAGAAATATTGACCAATTTGTTCGGGCTTTACCACGAATCCATGAATACCATGGAGCGATCTGAGGATAGGGTCTTCCAACATTTGAAACAATGCTGGAAAAAATAAATGAATTTAAGGTAGGAACATGGATAGAATCGGATCACCAACCTATGGAAATGAGTTTGAAAGGGAAGATAAAACGATCAAGAAACGGAAAGATACAAAAACGAAGACTTATAGAAGAAGACTAGAGGAACAAAAAAGAGAAACAGGCCCAAGTACCGAGAAGTGGAAAAATATGAAGGAGAATGTTAAAA